CATCCCCACCTCCTCATTCTTCTCTTCTCTCCTGTCCTCATCCCCCCTCCTCATTCTCCTTTCCATCTCCTCTCTTCATCCCTCCTCCTTACTCTCCTCACCTCTCTTCATCCCCCTCTCCTCATTCTCTTTTCCTCTCTTCATCACCTCTCCTCGTTCTCCTCTCCTCTTTTCATACCTCCCCCTCTCCTCATTCTCCTCTTCTCATTCTCCTCTCCTTATTTTCTCCTCTCCTCATTCTCCTCTCCCTCTCCTCTGCTCTGTTCTCTTCGTCCCTCCCCCCACTCCTTTCTCACCATCTGACCTGCTCCTTCTCCCCCGGGGGAGCTATTCTACCGACAGAGGTGGGTGGGGGAGGAGGAGAGACTCTCATCTCCCAGCAGCATCAGGTGGTGGCAATGGGCAGTAATGTCACAGCTGCATCAAGTGTTGAAGTAGAGGGGGTGGGCTGTGGACTGGGCTTAAGTTTACAGGGAGCTGAGGGGTGCCTTATATAAGCTCTGCCCTTAGCTAGCCAATGTTGAGAAAAATATTTGGGCTTCTGTGGCCTTCATTTCCACTCCTGCTGTTGTGTCTTCATGGCCCCTGGGCCTTCCCCCAAACCAGGCTCCCCAGGCTTTCATGCTTTGGCCCAGGCCGCTGGGTGGGCAGCTGGAGGCCATTTCTGGATGCAGAGCACTAGCTCCCAACCACAGCTTCACAGATTGGCACTGGCTTGGAGAACTTGTACCACCCCCAAGGGTCCTCTGTGTGCTTCCTGCCCTCTCAGCTCTGGCTCCTTTGTTCTTCCCAATTCCTCCTTGCTGCTTAGGCTACACTGAGGCTATAGAGGCTGGCAGTATGGGGTGGGCTGGGGCACAGTCTTTGGCCCTGGTTTTCCATATTTTGCAATCCTGCAGAGAACTTTTGTTTGGGAACTTCTGCTAGAGATAGAGGGGACCCTGGGTAAAGGCTGCACAAACTAGTATAATTGAACAACTAGCTCCTAGGCTCCTGCTCTGTGCCAGGCACTTTGCTGGGATCCAAAGACAAAATGGAACAGTCACTGCCCTGGAGAAAACCTCATGTATACCAAGCAATCACCAAACCTTTCTTAATCACCTCTAGGCACTGTGCTGAGGAGAGCGATACAGATAAAAAAAGCAAGCTGGTTCCTGTCCACAGAGAGCTTACATTCTGATGAGGGGAGATGGCTCATCTACGGAAAGGAAATGCTGGTGAGGGAGGGCTGGTCTTGGTCCAGAATGTTCCAGGAATGATTAGCAGAGCCATGGAGTCCATTGATGAGTTCTTTCCAGGACTGATAGTATGGCTTGTCACTCTTATCAGAACTGGAGGTGGAAAGGAGGGTAGGAGAGAGGAGGGTGATGTAGGCATGGCAGGAGGACCAGGGTGAAAGCAGAAAGTGGAGTACAGTAGCAGCAGGGAAGCATAGCCAGCTCCCACCTAAGATTGGGGTGTTTGGTGCATGGCCAATTTCTTGGTTGTTCCCCTGAAAGGGAAAAGTAGTCCTTAGCTTAAAATCACCAGCATCACTCATTCCTCCCAGATACTGGTTATTCAAAATATCATTACAAATAGAAAACAGAAACCAGAGGACTTAGACAGGTTAGAATATACCAAAGAATATACAGATCTCAGCTCGTACTAGGAGAAAGAACAATCTCACTCAGCAAAGGTCTATTTTCTTTTTTATTTTTTTATTACATTTTTTTATTTTTAACATGTGTTTTTAAAACTTTGGGTTACAAATTTTCTCCCTTCCTTCCTCCCCACCCATCCTCATTGAAAAGGCAAGCATCTCGATACAGGTTATAGATGTGTAGTCATGTAAAACACTTCCATAGTAGTCATGTTGTGAAAAACTAAGTATATTTCCCTTCATCCCATCTTACCCCCCATTTATTCTATTCTCTCTTTTGACCCTGTCCCTCCTCAGAAATGTTTGCTTTTGATTATGCCCTCCCCCAATCTGCCCTCCCCTCTATCAACCCCCTGCTCTCTTCTCCCCTTCCCCCCTTATTTTCCTGTAGGGTAAGATAGATTTCCATACCCCATTGTGTATGTTATTCCCTCCTTAAGCCAAATCCTATGAGAATAAGATTCACTCATTCCCTCTCACCTTCCCCCATTTCTTCAAAGGTTTATTTTCAAGAATTTCAAGAAAGTCAAGAGACATGATGAGGGCAGTTTCCCATGCATGTCTGCCATGCTAAAGTCATCCTTTCTCTCTCTGTCATGGAGAATCTTTGGTCTGTGTTTTCCCCAAGAGCTTCTAGAGTCAACCCAGTAGGTACTTTACACTGCTTGGCTGCATCACACTCAGCATTCTCTCAGACAATCAGGAGTCATGTCTTCCTCTACACAGACAGCGGTACACTGGATTATGGTACAGAGATGGCCTAAATTGAATGAAATAGTCCCTGCCCTCAAGTAGCTTCCCATTTTCCTGGAAAATAGAATAACTAATATTTATTTAGGCTTCAAAGTTTGCAAAGCATTTTGGGGGCCTCTTGCATTCCAAGAACTCATCGGGGCATTCCTCAAGTCTCCAAGTGCCAGGCTTCTCCTAGTTCACTAGAGTTCTCAAAGCATGTCACCTGTCAGATATTTAAAGAGAATTTTCTAAGAAGTATTGTCTAGGGCTGTACCATACAGTGATAGGGTGCAGTTAGTGATTTTTTCAAAAAAGGTCAATAGTTCAGTTTTCAAAGGTTTTGATCAGTTTGTGCTGGTCCTTGTGGTCAAGCTGGTGCTCATGAACATTGGCCTACTCTCCGTGCCTCTCACAGACCCAGTGAATGACAGAATTAGGAGGGCCTAGAGAGGTCATTAGCTCCAACCCCCTGATTTTCCAAAGGACAAAACTGAGGTCCCTCAGAGGGGGCCTGAAATGACTTGCTTAAGGTCCCCTAGCAATTCAATGAAAGGCAGAAGCAGGATTTGAACTGAGTTCTGATGACTTCTGCTCCAGCGCTCTTCACAATCCACCACATACCTTGTACTCCTTGAAACTCTTCTTGGTCTGGGCCATAATATTAGGTCCCCTGGACTCTTACTGCTCCCCCAGATTTCCTTCTCTGGCCACATCAAAATCACAGCCCTTAGTGTCTGGGTCTATCCTTACTTGGCTTTTTCAGCTCTCCAACTCAGTGACCTCAAAGTCTATCCCTACAGCCTACCATTCTAGCTCAGGAAAGCTTTCCCTCTCCAAACTTCTAGCACAAAATAGCTTATCCTTCCCCATTGCTCAAAGCTCCTCTCTCCCTGAATTTCAGGCCTTAGCACCTCCCTTCCAGCTTTCAATCTTGAATCCTTGGATTCTTACATATCTTGGAGGTCTATATGCTCAGATTAATTTTTGAAAAGTTGCCCTTTCAACCGGTCCAGTTGAACTCAGCTGCTTCTGGGCCTGTCCCTCTCTGTTCTTGTTCAGTGGCATCTCGGTGTTAGAAGGGACCCCAGAGGGCATCTTGTCCAACCTCTGCCTATATAAGAATCCTCTCTGTCTTATCCTTGACAGATGGTCATTTAGCTAGTACCCTGGGGTTTACCATAACTGGTAACTCCAGCCCATTTCACTTTGGGGTAATTCAAATTGTAGTTTTTCCATGTTCCAGGTTCCTAGATTTTTGAACCAAGGCCGACCCCTAACCGAGCTAACCTGATAGCCACATGCAATGGCTATTTGGGACCCAACACTTTTCCCTCATTCTTGGCTATTGATATAATTTTAACTCCACCTCAGGGCTGGAGTCATTGGCTTCTTTAGGGCTCCTATCCTCTTGAGGTATATCCTGGAAACTACACATAATTACAAAGAAGAAAAAATCAGAACATGCTCCAAGGCGGATATTAGAAAGCCATGAGGAGATGGGGATTCAAATCCTGCTTCCAACAGTTAGTAGCTGTGTGATGGTGAATCACCTGACCTCTCTGAGCTCCAGTTTCCTTGGCCATCAAACTGAACTAACCCTCCTTACCCTCGCTCACCCCCTTCCACACCCCAAAGCTCAGCAGTACAAACAGAAGTGATTATGATATTGAAATGAGGGCACGGGCCCTTCTTTATATAGAAGGTGCTCAGTTAACAGCTGGCACATTGAACCAAGTGGAATGGGATGGCAAAACCATGGTAACCCCCTAAATGGCAAAGCCACAGGAAGCCCCCCCAACTCTTCAAGCTCAGGCCAGCAGGCCATTGGGGCTTGGGGCTAGTAGCTGTGCCCTGGAGTTTCTTGCCATGGCATCCAAACCAAGAGAATTCTGGTCCTCACACTTACTCATGCTATTTGCTTCCCCTTTTGCCCTCAGCAGATGTGATGCCTGGTCAAATTCAGACCGATCCCTGGAACAAACTTCATCTGATGAGGTCTTTGTTGACTCCCTTCAGCCTCAGGCATCCAATCACATGTTGCCCTCTTTGTGCAGTGGGAATGAACTTCAGGATATGGCGCCCCCTGGAGGCCATGCTGCTCTGGCTGGCTGTATCAATTTCAGTGGACCATCCAGTGACTGCTCATCACCTTTGCCTTTGCTGGGGAGCCCCTTAGCCCCCACCTTTCAGGTGGCCAAGGGCCCAGCCATGTTTTCCTGTGGAATAACAGGAGAAGACATACCAAACACTCCACCCCCTCGTCCTCCCAAACCAAGCCATTTCATGGAACAGCGCCAGGAAGAGAGGCCTCTGTGGGATGGCCATAGCAGCAGCAGGAGGACTCAGTGGGTTGGAGTTCCAAGAAGAATCTCCTTGTCCAGTTTAGATGCTGTCAGAAGCTGTAGAGGTAAATATATCCTTCTCTCCATGTGCCCCCAACTATCTCAGTAATAAAGGAAGACCGGAGGGCACAGGGAAATCAGTCAGCCAACAATCAGTCAACAAGAATTTATTAAGCACCTACTATGTACCAGGTGCTGTGCTAAATGCTCAGCATCATTCTTCCGTGTTGAAAAGATGGGGGAAAGGAAGGTAAGACCCTTTGTGGTGGCAGGAATTGGTGAGATCAGGAAAACCTGTGTGGAAGAAGTGGGATCCAAGTTGGGCTCTGAAAGATGGGCATAGGGGATTGGAAGGGAAAAGCAGACCAAATGGTACAAGTTGGGTCTTCATCCTTCCCCGACTTTCTCTATGTGGGCATTCTTCTAAAGCTTTGCTCCCAACCCTCTCCTCTTCTGTCTCACCATTCTCTCCCTTGGCATTGTCATTCACTACAGGGCCTTAACTATCATTTCAATGAAGATGACTCAGATTTTTCTCTAGCCCTGACCTCTCTTCTGTGTCCTGGACTCACATCTTCCCCTCTTCCAGGACATTTCTTCCTGGATATCCCACTGGCATTTCCAATTCACTATGCCAAAACCAAATTATCTTTTCCTTAAAACCAGCTCTTCCTCTCTGATTATCTTATCAATGGCACCAGCATCCAGCCTCATAACCTCAGTGATTTGGGGACTTTTTTTACTTCTCCCTCAAAGTTCCAGAAGTGATGGAGACTAGAGGTATAGATTTGAGGGGCTTCCATATAAAAGTGATCATTTGAGCCATGAGAGTGGGGAAGTAAAGAGGAGGGTCTAAGACAGAGCTTTGGGGAATCCCTGTATTAAAGGAGTAAAAGGATCCAGAGCAGATCAAAGGAGTAATCAGAGGTAGGAAAGAGCAGTGTCATGGAAGTAAAGGGAGAAGAGTATTCAGAAAGAGGAGGTAGCACAGAAGGTGGGGTGTCAAATGAGGTTCAGAGGAGGTTGAGGAGGACAAGAGCCGAGGAAAATTCATTGAAGGAAGGGTTCACCTCATTCTGGTTGGTCTCACAGAATAGACCTTGGGAATGCAAGGTACTCTGTGGGCCAGCATCCACTCACCACCATAGCTCCCGAGCCCCCACTGGTGTGGCCAAGGTGCTGGTGACTTTTCACTAGACTGGCCAGAGCTCTGTGATATCTTTTCCAGGGTAATGGGTAGAAATGGCAGACCTGTCCCAGGGTAGAAAGGGATGCCTTGGAAGGTGGGAAGTTTCCCTTCACTTTAAGTCTTCAAGCAGAGATTGGCTGGTTAGGTGGCCTGGAGAAGGAAGGTCCAGGCTGGACTCACTGCCCTCTGATAAATCTTCCAACTCTGAGGTTATATGAGCCTTATTTGGTGAGGAGGTTTTTAGTATAATCTTCCCAATGAACAGCTCATATTGTATCACTCACCTGCTCAAAAATCTTGACTGGCTCCCTATTACAGACAGTTCTCCCTTTATTAAATTCACATAAATTTACAGAAATTCACATTATGAAAATTTGATGTCTGCTGAGCCAGTGGTGTCAGCATGCCAGGAGACATCCGCTCCAGACACTGAAGCTGCTCTGGATGCAAAAGACTCAGAACCCTGGAGAGGGTTCTGCATTAATGGAGAACTGACTGTACCTACAAATTAAACTCCATTCTAGTCCTGGGTGATTACTACTTTCTAGAATGTTCTCCCGTTCCATATTGCTTTCTAATATTACCCATCTTTGGAATCACAACTCAAGTCTCATATTCATCGTGAAGCCCGAGTGACATCTCCCTTTGAATGCTTACAAGCCTGAGACTCACTGGGCCCTTAACTTGTGCTGCCTTGTATTGTACATGCCCTGTGTTCCTGTCTGGACTGGGAGCTCCCTCAGAGGGCAAGGATTGGGTTGGGACCAAGCCCCATCACATGATGAGATCCTCTAGGACAGTGATTGATGACAATGTCTGGGTGTGCTTTGGTTTGCAGCTGACAGAGAAGGCAGTTCCCTGCGATGCCACTGGGACAAGAGGCTCAGTTTGAATTTGGTAAGTGTAGCATTTGGTTTCTTTAAACTTTTTTAATTCCAAATCATTCGGAGAGGTGGTTAGTTTATTGTTGTTAATTTAATTTTATTTTGATAGCTTTCTGATTCTTCCGCTTCTTCAGACTGACTGGGTCACTTAGCCCTTCACTCAAAAACTGAATTGAGTTAGACCCTAACCAAACTCCTTGGCAATGAAATGCAGGCCTCTCCGGCAAATAGATTTCCTATCACATGTGGAAGTCTGAAACCACACTGTGGAGTCTGCCTTGAAGAGACCCAAGACTCTCTTGGGGTTGTCCCACAGGCTCTTTTCCTGTCCCTACCCCCTTACCCCAGGGTGTTTCTAGCTGACAGGTGCTACTCCATTGGTGGAAAAAGTAACCCACTTCTGGGCTTTGAGCTAGAAGACACTTCAGGTTGATGTCTGCCTCTGCAACTTCTCAGTTGTTTGCCTATGGGCAAGATCCTTCTTCTCTGTGGAAGATGGAGATGAACAAGTCCTGCAGCTCCCACCTCCTGGGTGCTTATGAGAGTCAAACAAAATCATATCTGTGAAATGTTTTGCTCACCTGAGAGCACATAGGAAATGTCACTCTGAATTGGCACTGAAGGAGCAGCCGGGTGGCTGCTCCTTTGGCCAGCTGTCAGTCTCTGACACTGTCCAAACCATCCAGAGAGCTTGCCCTCATCCATTTTCCTCAGGCCAGCATTTGACTGTTTTAGCTTCTAGGTCTGCAAGGGGGACTCTCTTCCTTGGGTCAGTCCTCCTACCCTCTCTTGCCTTGGGAGCATAATTGAGAGGGCCAGTAGCTGACAGCTTCTCCCCCTGTGGCCAGCCTGTTCAAAGTTGAGGCCTGCCGGTTCCCAGAGGCAGATGCCCACCAGCCCATCCAACTTAACAGACACTTGGAGAACCTTGGATGTATGTCCTGGCCAAGGTGAGGACAGCAGTGAAGGAAGAGTTCCCCATTTGTTGCTTTTTTTGCTGAGTGTTGCTGAGGTACTGGGAAGGATACATACAGCCTTCAGTGCCTGTTGTCCCCAGGCTTTCTGGAGTCAGGCCCAGGCTGGACAAAGGATCCGAGGTGCTGACTTCCTGATTCTTCTTGCAGCCCTGTCGGTTCACCTTGCCACCATCCTCCCTCCCAGGGAGCTCTGAAGACAGTTATGTCCCCATGCATCCCAGCATCTCCTCTGCTGGCTCTGGACCAGAAAGCAATGCTGATGGTTACATTGCAATGAGCAGCCTTGAGAGACTTTCCAGCCCCCTGGCAGAGCTTCCCACAGACCTGGAGCCACCCCCAGTGAATCGAGACCTGAAGCCCCGAAGGAGATGTAAGTGGCTTCTCCATTGTACAGGAGGGAGAGTCAGGACAGATCAGCACCTGAGCAGATGAGATGTCGAGGGGAGCTGGAGTTATCATGAGCTATCATTATTAGTTCGTTGCTTGGGCAAGTTTTTGTATATCTTGTGCCAAACTATTAATTCTTTTTCCAATTCTTTCTTCCATAGCTCTCATTTCTTTTCCAATTTCTTCCTCTTGTGCTCTCATTTCATTGACAAAAATATTTTATTTTTAATTATCGATTTTTCTCTTCCAAGAATTCTAGTTGAATTTGTGTCCAAGTTGTGTTTTTATTTGAGGTTTTGCTTGTAGTTGTTTTGGAATCTTTCTCTTCTGGGTCTGTGCCTTGAGCATCCCTGTCACCCTAATAGCTTTTTATGGTGGGATTTTTTTTTTGGTTTGCTCATTCTTCCAGCCTATTTCCAGATTTTGGACTTGATGTTAAGGCTGGGCTCTCTGCACTTTTGGAGGTAAGGTTTAGGCTGGTCCTGTTGCTGCTTTCCTAGAGTATTGAATGTCCTATTTTTCCAGGGTCTCAGGGACAGGCTGGGAACCTGCAAGCTATCAATGCTCCCAAAGTGGTTTGATCCCGGGTAAAGTCTGGTCTCTGTCCCCCTAGTCTTAGTTCCTGACATGGGTTTGGGTCTGAGTAATTGCAGATGCTGCTGGACTCTGCCCTTATCAGCCAATTGGGAAGCTCTACTGTTTCCTTTGGTCTTAGAGTCACACCAGCAAGTAGTAGCTTCTGTTTTCTAGAAACTTGCTCTTCTCTTGGATAACACTTAGGGCCTATGAGAGCTCCCTACCCTGAAACACCACCCCTGGGGGAAGGTCCCCTTCTCAATCCACCCTGGATCTGTGATCTGGAACTGGATAGTGGGCAGCGAAGCTTCCAATTGGCACGTGTTTCCACACCCTGCATGAGGTTTTCTGGTATGACTCTAAGACCTCCTCTTGACCTCATGTATGCCTTCTCCCCAGGACAGAGCTCTCTGAGCAGCCCACTCCTGGCCAAACCCCCTCCCCAGTGTCCATAGATCTCTTTGTATTTCTTCCTGTGCTGACAGTGGTTGGAAAAATGACTCACCATGACTTTTTCTTGGATTTCCCCATCAAGATTCACTCTGGTGCATTTTCTATATCTATTTGGAGGATTTCGGGTTGGGGGAGCTCACTGTACTTTTTCTTGCTACTTTGCCATTTTGGCTCCCAAATTCCTAGTCAATATTTAGGCAGAAGTTGGATTCCTTGCCTTAATTTACATTTTTATCTATCTCTAGTTAACTTCTGCCCTCTTTGTTGTTGAGGTAAAATTGGGTTACAAGCCTATTGGTAGCCCTGAGAGGGGAATTTGGGGGAGAAAGCAGATCATTCCTTGGAACTTCCCTAAGCCCTTGAATAGGTGGGTACAGCTGGTGACATAAGCCCAGATCTTCTGGTCCAAGATGCTTATAGGGCTGATGGCCTTCCTCAAAATTTCCTTTCTCTGAAACAACTCAGTTTTCCCTTCTCTTTCCCCTTTCACTCGTTACCCCTGGGCTGCCTATTTTTTTGGGGGGGGCACGGCTCTGCATATCCCCAGTCCTTCCTCTCCACTACTAAACCCTCAGAATCTCTCTCCAATTCTGAGATAGTTTCTCATTCAATGCCTTTGATTGATTCAAGGACGTGTAAAGACCTTGTTTATACTTCATTCTGATTGATTCATTCACTCAAGAAGTGCTAAACAAAGGAAACCATTTTTAGGTGAGGTGTTTAATGCTGGGGAATAGGTGGGAGAGCTCCATTCCTCTACTCCACTCAAAGGAGTCCCCACCCTTACTCTAGGATTTTTGGAGGAGGGAGATACCAATTGGCAAATTTCTTCATTGGAGGTTGAGATTTCTATTTTCCAGGTTAATATTTTCTTTTCTTTTTTTAATTTTTTTTTTAGGCAATTGGGGTTAAGTGACTTGCCCAGGGTCACACAGCTAGTAAGTGTCAAGTGTTTGGTCTGAGGTCGGATTTGAACTCAGGTCCTTCTGACTTCAGGGCTGGTGCTCTATCCACTGCGCCACCTAGCTGCCCCCAGGTTAATATTTTCAGAGGCAATTAGGTGGCACAATTGCTGACCCTGGAGTCAGGAAGACCTGAGTCCTCATACACTTACTGTGTAACCCTGGGCAATCACTTAATCTCTGTCTTTCTCAGTTTCCTCAACTGTAAAATGGGGATAATAGCACCTACCTCACAGAGTTGTTGTGAGAATCAAATGAGATAATATTTGTAAAGTGCTTAGCACAGTGCCTGGCTTATAGTAGGCACTTAATAAATGCTTATTCCCTTCCCCTTCCCTTTTGTAAGTTTACACTTCTGACTTCATTACATAGGAATGACCAAAAACCAAATGAGCATGGGACTTAAGTTCCTACATCTTGTATTTCACCACCAATATATGAGCCTCATCACCACTTTGATGTCCTCAAGGCTATGGCCTTCTGCCAGGTGGCAAATCTGTATTTTTTTCAAGTGAAGTTCGAAAAAGAGCCTGCTTGTTGAATCTGATACTCTCCCACTCACTGTCTTACAAAAGTGAGCCTGATCCCTAGTGAGGGGAAAGTAAAGATCTGCCCTGAGGAACTTCCTGGGGCTCTCTTGACTTTCTAGCTAGCGGATACATAGCCCTAACTCTCAGAAGCCTGATTAGGGAGGTGAGCACTCTGAGTGAGATGAGGCCAGTATGGAGCCATGGCTGGAGATGGAGGAGAAGCATAGAGAGACAGGAGGGTGAAAAGCCTCCAGGGCTGTCTTCAGCCCCTCTACCTGCTCAGGTTATCTTGAGTAGACATGAAGAAAAATTCAAATCAAACAAACTAGCTGTGAGACTAGCCCCTGAAGCTAGCACTTGGTCCCCAGACTCCTCCCACTTGGCTTTCATCCTGATATAACCAGACCATTGCTTCCTGAGTACAAGCTGACAGTTTAGAGATAGGGTCACCTCCACAAAGGTGGGGTCCATGGCGCATTCTTATCAGTTCCCTCTCTCCCTACCTGCCTGCTAGTTTCTCCCTGGTTGTAATCTGGAGCAGCACTGGATAGTTTGATTCCTGCCTCTCCTGGCAGCCCTCTCCTTCCTTTCTCCTTTCCCTTCCCATAACCCTGCTCTTCCCTCCCTCTTGCCCTGCTTGCTTGGCACAGGCAATGACAGCAGTAGCTGCCTCAGCAGTGAGGTGGGTAAGGCGGTTAACTGTGGCTGCAACTCCAGCTGGTATGGACACTCTGATGGCAAGAAGTTGACCACCTGCCCCGGAGTCAGTAGCCAGACATACTGATAGAAACGGCATATCTGCATGGGGCCAGCATCTCCAAGCTGTGGCTGGTCTACCTAAAATAAATTGGTCATCTATCTTACCTATATGGCTATACTTAAACACACACACACACACACGCACACACACACATACACACTCTCTCAAAGATCTATACCATCACATCTTCAGCTAGAAACACCCACGGTTATACACGTAAGCAATGCAGCAACTGCTTTCTATCTCCATTTGAAAGCCCTGTTCTGGTCTGTGATTACAAAGGTCTCTTCTGGTTAGCTTGACTGAAGGAGGTGAGAACAGGCCCTATGGAAGCCCCAAGTCCATTAGGACCAGCTAAGGGTTAGAACCACTGGACAAGGGCTTGGTTTGTTGTCAGGATGATTCTTATCGGAAAAATCTCCTCATAGAGTCAGAAGGAACCCATATGGCCAGAAGTGCTAAGAATGCCCAGTAATCCTGTGCCTCTTATTAGCTTACAGTATAAGCAGGGCATGGCCTTGTTAGCACTTGTGACAGCTGAGAAGCAGCTCAAGGGCTATTCTCACCACTCTGGATAGAAATCTCAATTGAACACAACTCCCTCCTTGGGAGGAGAACAAGTCAGGGGGAATTCATTCTTCTCAGACCTAGGGATAGAATCAGGCCTTGATTAAACACTATTTGGTAATAATTGAAATATGAAGGAAGGTGTCCTAGCTGTACCAGATTTCAAAGCGGTAATCATCAAAGCAATCTGGTACTGGCCAAGAAATAGAGTGGTGGATCAATTAGGTACATAATACACAGGAGTAAATGACCATAGTAATTTAGTATTTGATAAGCCCAAAGATCCAAGCTTTTGGGACAAGAATTTACTATTTGACAAAAATTTCTGGGAAAACTGGAAAGCAGTTTGGTAGAAGCTAGGCATAGACCAACACCTCCCACTGTATACCAAGATAAGGTCAAAATGGGTACTTAATTTAAACATAAAAAATGATACCATAAGCAAATTAGAGGATCAAGGAATAGTTTACCTGTCAGATCTATGGAGAAGGGAAGAATTTATTACCAAAAAGAGACAATAAAGCGTGACAAAATGTAAAATGGATAATTTTTATTATATTAAATTAAAAAGGTTTTACACAAACAAAACCAAAGCAGCCAAGATTAGAAGGAAAGGTTTGATAAAGGTTATACTTGTGCTGTCATGAAAAACATTTCCATATTAGTCACATTGTGAAAGAAAAGGTTTCCCCAGAAAACTGGGGAAGACTTTGACAGCAAGTTTTTCTAATAAGGGCTTCATCTCTCAAATATATAGAGAACTGAATCAAATTTATAATAATATGAGTCATTCCCCAAAGGATATGAACAGGCAATTTTCAGAAGAAATCAAAGCTATGTATAGTCATATGAAGAAATGCTCTAAATCACTATTGATTAGAGAAATAAAAATGGAAACTCTCAGGTACTACTTCACACCTTTAAGGCTGGCTAATATGATAGAAGAGAAAAATGACAAATTGGAGGGGATGTGGGAAAATTGAGACACTAATACACTGTTGGTGGAGTTATGAACTGATCCAACCATTCTGGAGAGCAGTTTGGAACTATACCCAAAGGGCTATCAAACTATGCATAACCTTTGACCCAACAGTACCACTACTAGGTCTGTATCCCAAAGAGATAAAAAAGGAAA